CGTTTAGGGTTAGGTTTTAGGGTTAGGATTAGCGTTACATTTAGGGTTAGGGTTAGCGTTACGTTTAGGGTTAGGTTTTAGGGTTAGGATTAGCGTTACATTTAGGGTTAGGGTTAGCGTTACGTTTAGGGTTAGCATTAGGTTTAGGGTTAGGTTTACAGCGCGCTTCTGTCACTGCGCTGTTGTCGGGGCGATTCAGCGCTCATTCGTCGGCGCGGTTTAGAACTCGCGGTTTTGTCAACCGTGGTTTAGTCGGGCGCGGTTTTGTAGGTCGCCCTTTTGTTGGTGAACCGTTTTATTAGCTCAACTGAACAATAGAATTCTTTTTTTTTTTAAGTTTACCTTTTCCAGATCCGTCAATTTGTCCTGTAATTGTCTTTTCTCTGCCTCCATTTTAGCTAATGTATTCTTCCCATTTTTTACTTCTTCTTCCAAATTAAGAACTCGACCTAGGAATATTTAAGATTTCAACAAGGAAAAGAGCATTATCTACAAGTCAATTGAACTGTAACACTTTACACACTTGGATTACAAAATCAAATCACCGATGATATCTTCTGAAGGCAGAAGGAAAGTGAGAATAATTCGCCGATTCCTGCGAATGTTTGACATGTTGATAAATTACATATTTAATACATCTAAAATCCCAATTAAAATGGATAATCACAGCAAATTGCCTCTAAATGAAAATCACTTTCTAAGAGATTGCTTTTCATACCCTGTAGATCATGGATAATTTCTGACCCATGATTCTGCTCTCTTCTTTCAGATTCCAGAGCTGACTGCAGATTCAAAAATTCCTTCTCCAGTCGAAGCTTCGTATTCTCTAAGGCACAGTTTTTATCCTGCAGCTCTCTGTTGTTAGCTTCTAGCTGCTGAATTTGCTTCGTACTTTCCGTCTGGTTCTTTCTCAACCTGGCGGCTGTATCCGACTCTGTGCGCAGCAAGACATTGGCTTCATCCAGCTATTGGGACACAAAAATACATCGCAGCATTACATACAAACTACAAAGGTAAGCTTTTTTTTTTAAACGGACACTACCATCCATTTACTGTAGCAAAGCATAACACAGTTTTTAATTATGAAGTTATTCAGAAATTAAAAGTCTTAAGAACCATTAGGCGTCTAACTTAAAAACAGAACGGTAACTTGCCTGTCTTTGTAGCTGAGTAATTTTTTCATTTGATATTTGGGAGTTTTGATTCCTCTTTTTCATATCCTCGAGTTGATCCTTTAAACTGTTCACTGAAAGAAAAACAAAGCACTCAATCCACCATACGGGATTCATAACAGTATGTCACAAGTTGTTCCAAGCAGCGAAGGCAGAATGGGATTCATCAATGCTCTTCCCCCTGATGCCACAAATAATGTAGTTTTTCTTTATTGTTTCGGGTGAACGTACCATCGTTTTCTAGATTGCGTTTTCGATCTGCTTCGTGCTCTGCTTTCCGCTGGTATTCTGCATTCTTATGCTGGAGAAGAGCCTTTTCCCTTTCCAGCTGTCTGAAAGAAGATTCTAGATGTTTCCTTGAAGATGTCTAGAAAAATCATGGAGGAAGAGAAACATATGATGGGGACATTTTTTTAAAAAAATTACAGTAAGGAGTCCAACAAATTTTCTGAATGCAAAAATCAAAAACATTTCTCATTTGACTGCAGCAAATATACAATATAATGCTCAGCAGATGGGATCGTGCCAAACTGCTTCCAAACAGTTCCATGTGTTNATCTATCTATCTATCTATCTATCTATCTATCTATCTATCTATCTATCTATCTATCTATCTATCTATCTATCTATCATCTACAGTATCTAAACTGTCCATCTCAGGCAAATGATTCTGGGCAGTGAACAATCATAAAACAATAAAAAATCATTATAGTAGAAAGTTAAAGATGTGTGGCAGCTAAATAAAAATGTTATCATAAATATCAATTTAATCAGGAAATTTGGGGCTCTAAGTCCTTTGCACATTTAGAGCCCAAACTACGGCATAAAGCCAGGTGTTCCAACACCTATCAAATCACAACACGTTGGGGTCATCCTCAACTCTGAAGGAAGAAAATTCCAGGAACAGGAAAATTTTTATGTTGCTTTTATGCTTTCACAATGAAAACAAGAAAATATAAGAGGGAAACTCTGCATTATTAACTACAGCAAAACCTTTGAGTAAATGCCAGAATGTGGTACTCATGGTGTGTCATTCTTCTGAGGAACATTTACAATTAACAAGAAGCTACTATGAGTAGTGACTTTGGAAATATAGCATCTCAGTATATGGAAGGAAGTAAAACAAGGATGAATATTGTCTAACTGTCTCAACAAATATATGAATGACAAGATTCTAAAGATGACAACTGGAACTAAAACTTAAAAGTTGAACTCTTGACAGTCTTAGATACATAGGCAAACAAGTTTGTTAACTGAATGTAAAGAGCGTCAACTTGCATTAGTGAATTTACAATTGAAAATGAAGAAATGATTGGGGTACATAGTTTTATTTTCTTTCACTTAAAAATGAAGATGGATAGTTAACTGAAAAATAAAGAGGATGTTAATTGTAGGATACAAACAAGATCAGGAAGGATTATGATATCTTTAAAATGAAGATCAGAATATTTAAAGAAAGGTCTTCTCAGTTGTGATGCATATTTGTGAAAGCTAACCATTGACAAAAACTTTACACTTGGTATCATAGATCTGGAGATGTTGACTAAGAATGTTGGTATCTGGATCCATTAAAACAAAAATAGATGCCAGGGACATAGGACGCAGGATTTTGTTGCTCTGTCATAATTTTTCTGATAAGATTCAGGGTGGATGAATTGAATCAATAAATAAAGCCAAAGAGCACATACACCTTAAAACTTCAAACAATCCATTAAGTTGAATCATAAGAATCTGCCAGCAGAACAAAGACAGGCAGAGCTACAAGAGTTGACTATTAACAGTCTAATACAGTGATGGGCAACCTTTTTGGCGTGGTGTGTCAAAAATCGGCAAAAAATNTTTTCTTTAGAGCAGATTTGATGTAATGATGAAGATGTTGAACTAAAGATAGAGAAACCCAGGTTCAAATCCACCCTCAGCCATGGAAGCAGACGAGGTGACACTGAGCCAGCCCGTCTCTCAGTTCCAACTCAAACAGGCTGGAAAAAAATGGCAGATGGACCAAGATCTGCCTTGAGGTCCTGAAGAAAGAAGAGATATAAATTAAAAAAAAAATCTGATTTGTCTCTTCTGGGATTTATTTATTTATTTACTGGATTTATATTGCCAGCTATTCACCCATGGTGACTCAAGGTGGCTTACAGAATAAAAGACCATATTTAAAACGGTTCACCGACAAATGTGCGATAGACATATGCGCGCCGACAAAACCGCAATGACAAAACCACGACGTCAAAATCGCTAATTGATTTTCGACAATAGCGCGCCGACAAATGCGCGCATATGTACGTTATAACCCTAATCCTAAAATTTTTTGGATTTTATTGTCATCACGCTTTTGTCAGCGCGCTTTTGACATCACAAATTTGTGGGCGCGATTTTGACATCGCGGTTTTGTCGGCGCTCATATGTCTATCGCGCATTTGTCGGGTCACGATTTAAAACAATAAAAACTAACAAAAAGAACCAAATAAATCAATCTAGTACAGTATAACAAAAATCACCCCACACCTCCCACCCTCCACCCCGGCAACAGCGGATCATAGGAGCAGACCATTCAATGGGCTCCATCCCGCTCTGGGTTCCCCAGGCCTGCTGACAGAGCCAGGTCTTCAGGGCGTTCCAGAAGAGTGGGGGCCATTCTAATCTCTGGGAGAATGATGTTCCGGAGGGAGAGAGTCACCACGGAGAAGGCCCTTCTTCTGGGACCCACCTGGTGTATATCCCTTGTGGATGGGACCCACAACATTCCCTGCCTCTCTGCTCTGATGGGTCGGGTAGATGCGACTGGCAAGAGATTGTCTCTCAAACAACCTGGTGCCAAGCCATTAGAACGGCTGCTTCCCAAGGAAACAAGGGCATCCCTGCTTGTTTTACCAAAAGCAAATTGGCATCTCTAGTGACTTCCACCATCTGGCTGGCACCTTCCAGATGCCTTGGGACTACAGACCCAGGATGTCCTACTGGTGTGCCCTTTACACATGTGCAGCAACCAGGATGTAACCAAACATAGTTCCTTAAGACAATGCATTCCAAGGTAATTTGTGCTGCCCCAGCAGTATATAGCTAGTGTAGGAATTAAGAACTGTCTCCTTTAAGAAACTACCTCATGGG